ATTGTTTTTTGTTATATGATTTTTTGTGGTTTTATACTATGGTGTCGTGAGTAATTTTTCTTTCCACACCATAGTACACCATAGTATACAGTTGACAGGTTATAACCTAAAAACTTATTTAATTTACAGCATTTTCCCCTGGCCTCTAAATGAAAAGGTGATAAGTTATTATGTTATTATAAATAATTGATTTTATGCAACAGTAGTTGTAGGTAGACGCGACCTGTAAAACGAATCAAGTGACCAATCAATGTATGGAAAGTGGACATACTTCTTTAATCACTAGTTCGTTACTACATTTTATAGTAATTTACTTACATTTATATAAACAGTACTTTCGTAACGAACTTGACAAATTCGTTACGTAAAGTACTATTTATAACATTATTGTTTATCAAAATAATTCAAATAGATGATAAACGTAGAAATGCCACGATATTATTGAACGTGGACTGAGATTTCAGATTTCATACTGGATGGTTTCATTCAAAGTAAAATCGAATATACATACGTTTCCTAAAGTCACTGGCTAAAACAGCCTGATACCCAGACCTATCTTTTAAGGCATTCTTAAGTGTGTATAAGACGCGTCACACTGAAATAATTGCAGATATCAAAACGCCAAGAAGACGCAAGAACCATCGCATAACTAAAACAAATAGTTCTCCCTAACCGACGTGAACGTCTACGTATTATAATACAAGCAAAGTACAAAACGTAATATCAACACAAATGAAACTAATATTTACATAATTTAAATCGCAACCGTATAAAAGTCTATGTTAGTTGAATAAAAAAAAAAGTTTGACAGGTAGTGAAATAGTGCGCTCATAGTTTACACACACAAGAAAATATTATAATTGTATCGACTCGCGTAAATGTATGTGTACGATGTTATTTTCTCCATAATTAAAATCGAAGTATTCGATAGAATAATCGAATGAATGAGTAATCGGGCTATCAATTACAAAAAGAAATATAAGAGAGTTATTCAAGAAGTTGCGGGATAAATGCACACGTAATTGACCTAATTGCTCGGTAAAAATATTTTCGAAACACCCGAAAACCTTACGTTATAATAAAAAAATCTTAGTTTTTTAAACACTTTCGAATACAAATTCAGATCTACTAAAATATCGACACAATTTCTTTCATGGATAAGTACAACGTTATGCCTATCACAGCGACCACACCGTCGTTTATTACTCAATTATATAATGGTCTAAATATATTTTAAAAGACTAGTTATTATGTGGGTGAATTAAATAATACATAAAATATTAAAATTTAAGACTGTTTCTTATACCCGATATGTATATTGTATTATTCAATATATAATTTAAATATAATTGTTTCATTATCTGATTCAATCATTGCGTAATTAATTCAATCATTATATAACAAAACAAAACGGTCATAAAATGTTACTAACGGAAATTATTACTAGTTTCAAAGACAAAATTATTATTGTCTTTTATAATAGTTTTATGTGCACCATTCTTATATGTCATATGGTCTGCAAACAGAGGCCTGTATGTACGTCAGACGATAACAAATTGCACATTGTTTTTAATTTCATAAATATCGCAAATAAAGGTACAATTTAAATTTAAAAATAATACAAGCCGATAATTGACGTACAGTATACAGTTGAGACATCACTGCCGCGGCAAGGACGCGTTGGCCGGCAATGTAGAGCTGCGCTGAGACGTGTTCATATTATACGCTGCCTTCAGGTTTGACCTCATTGAATCCCTGCAATTTTAGATTGGATACGTTCTAGAAATTTCGTATTCATTATCAACCTTATTTTCTAACAATTTTCCAAATACACATAAAGAATTATTAAACCTAAATTTCACAGACTGGTGCTGAGCCTTATCAATGCTAGCCCAGTGTAGCGGATAGCGGTAGCGGAGCGTGGTACATACCTCCCTCTTATGTGGCCCTAGTCGATAGCTCGAACTAAATGGTGGGCGGGGTTAAAACGCATGCTATCTCAGCCGACATCTCGTGCGAAAGCGAAAGGCACGATGATTTACAACAAAACGAGCGCGCGAAATTTTATAAACAGACCTTTGGGAATCTAAATATTATGAAAAATATATTGAATGTATCTGGTCAAAATAAAATTATTTGTACTTTTGAACACCTAATCTATCCCTGTATGGTAACTGTTTTCTTATGGTATTTATTTCCGCGCAAATATGTGTTAAAATTAGTATTTTTAAATATATTCTTTTTTTACTTTTTTGTTTCCATACAGGGCTAGATAATGATGAATCAAATTGAAATTATTTTTTATTTTGAACGTACACCATCAAACAGTGGAGTAAACGCCAGACTACGTTCGTTCCATACGAACGTATGTATATAATGAGTGACTAGTGTACCCTTAAGATTTTCTTCCTTTTTTGTTTGAAGTTGGCTGCAGGTGTCCACGAATGGCAGTAGCCACTTACCATTACATGGACTCGTTTATTGCTTCAGTATTATAAAGAGAAACCCTCAATAAATGTTTGCCAGCTGGTGAAGTATTCTCATCTGGTTGGGCTGCATAAATATATAAAATAGGACGGTAAATATACATCAAATAATGTAATATATAAATAATAATTAAAATAAATTTTACAATACAAGAAGAATTCAAAACGAGATGTAAGGGTAAGTGAATGTATGAAACAAACCCAATGAGTCGTTTTACACAGATTTTATTGTAAAGGAATAATTCCTATTGTACAGTAACCCATACATCCTGCCGACCAAAGAGAGGGAACCTTTGAAGTACACAACAACAAGAATATAACAATCTAAAATAAAGAAAGCAACGTAAAATAATTTATATCCATAAATATTTCATCACTGCATCAATCTTGAATGTCTGATTCTGTCGGAATGAGGTACAGGTCCTTTAAATGGGTAGGTAGATTGAATGCGATATAGGGTGTCATGAATTCTACGATGTATGTAGTTCTGCCGAGGAAGACTAAAAACTTTGTCCAGCTCAAAGGTTACCTTATTCACCAAGGGAATCTTGACTTTAATGATCAGGTAAAAGGAGCCAATTTCAGCACATTTGTTTTCATCAACTTGTATAATTCGTTAAAATCATGCTTGTAGGCAGGTAAAGTCAGGCCGTTTGGTATGTGTCTATATATGATGTTCACCTCTTTTGAATGATGTTCACCGCTCTTCCAATTGTTCTAGAGGCAATAAATGTGCGCCCATATGACCATGTGCGAAGTCTGTTATGGTGTCAATCACAATTTCTTGTATTTGTCGGACGTTAGAGACGATGATCATAACTGACATGGATGATGTGTAATTCGTTGTTAATTACTTTTTCCAGACGGTTAGTAGCGAAGGAAACATTTTGTAGATACCTCTGGACCAATTCAAACTGCTTGTTGATAATGACTTTGTTTCTATGAATAATGTTGTATTGAGCTTCTATGACTCTAGTCTGATTTTCCAACAGAAGTTTAAGGTGGTTTTCGTTCATAGATATTTTTTCTATGTCCTATGTCATTCCGACGTAAAAAATGTTCCTACAAGCTTTCATGTCGTGCACCTTGAACTTTGTTGTCTTGGTTGGAAGACGGCTGGTGTGACGTCATCACAATTTGATGATTGAACGTTACCTGTTTGTTGTTCAGTGTGTTCTTCTCCCACCTGTACAAGTGATAATTTTAAAATCGGCTTCAGCGTAACTCCATTCTTAATTTTGACGGATACCACACGTACGTATCCGTACCTGCCAGGGTGAACGGCGACAACTTTACCCATTGACCACTTGCCGGGGGGCAAGATGTCGTTGACCTCAGTATTTTTGAGGTTATACAAACTTACAACTGTTTTAAGTAGTCCGATGACCACTTTTTCCATAACTGTTTGTTCATGGCTTGGATCATCTACCATCTGGTTTTAGTGATCCTCCAACCAGGAAGTGTCCAGGTGTTTAGTATTCATCATCAATTTCGGTCAAGGTAATCAGAGGTCGAGAGTTGAGACACGCCTCTATCTGGTGATGTAGTGTGATAAACTCTTCGTACGTGAGTACTCACCTATAAACTGACGTAGATGGTGTTTTAAAACTTCTGACGGCAGCCTCCCAGAGACCGCCTGCTGAGGGTTATGCCGGCGCAATAAAGTGCCATTTAATATCATAGTCATCGATCTTACTCAATAGCACTTCATTGATGGTTGCAAGGATATCTTTGTATTCTTTCTTCAAGTTTTTAGATGCCGCCTTATAGTCTCGACCTCGCACCTTGCGATTTTTATTTATTTCCGAAAATAAAAGACAAAACCTCGCGGAAAACGTTTCATGGACGCTGAGGAAGCTGTGGCTGAGTTTCAAAATGCCGTCAAAGAGACCCATAAGGACGAGTGAGCAAAGTGCTTTTTTCAATGGTTCCATGGGATGCAGCGATGTATTGATGTAAATGGACACTATTTTGAAAAGATATAATAAAACTAATAACTTGCTAGTTTGTTTAGTTTGTGATCTTCTAAGAACTTTTAGTGTCACCCTCGTAAAGTTATGTTCTAGTTCGCTGTATATGTTTGGGGTAGATCTTCTGGCGCAAAAAGGTCAAAATGCTGCCAGAAACCGAGGTGTACTAAGATCAGAAACGAGCTCGAGCAGCCTTTGTCGCGAGCAAACAAACACTGCGACGTAGCCTTTGTGCATTCACACTCCATGTTCGTTTTGATGTCAAAAGCTCCTGTGAAGTCGATGCCACAGTGAAAGAAAACGCGCGATGGAGTAACCCGAGGCTCTGGTAGATCTGACAACTTCTGAGTTCGTTTCTCTTCATTGAAACGTCGACATGTTACACACTTTGCGAAGCCCACTGAGAATCCAGTAATTTTCCTGTATGTAAGACAAAGTCAAGCTTGGTCCACAGTATAGCGTGGCGGAGTGGGCGTGCTATATAACCAACGCGGCGAGCGCCAGCAGCAGCAGCTCGCGGTGCGCTCACCTGGGCGACAGGCGGCTATGCTCGTGGTTGTGGTGCGCGGCGCGGTACCCGTAGCGCTGCACGCGGCGCGCCAGGCGCGCGACCCAGCGCCGCTGCTCTTGCGCGGCGGGCGCCAGTAGCAGCAGCTCGCGGTGCGCTCACCTGGGCGACAGGCGGCTGTGCTCGTGGTTGTGGTGCGCGACGCGGTACCCGTAGCGCTGCACGCGGCGCGCCAGGCGCGCGACCCAGCGCCGCTGCTCTTGCGCGGCGGGCGCCAGCAGCAGCAGCTCGCGGTGCGCTCACCTGGGCGACAGGCGGCTGTGCTCGTGGTTGTGGTGCGCGGCGCGGTACCCGTAGCGCTGCACGCGGCGCGGTACCCGTAGCGCTGGACGCGGCGCGCCAGGCGCGCGACCCAGCGCCGCTGCTCTTGCGCGGCGGGCGCCAGCAGCAGCAGCTCGCGGTGCGCTCACCTGGGCGACAGGCGGCTGTGCTCGTGGTTGTGGTGCGCGGCGCGGTACCCGTAGCGCTGCACGCGGCGCGCCAGGCGCGCGACCCAGCGCCGCTGCTCTTGCGCGGCGGGCGCCAGCAGCAGCAGCTCGCGGTGCGCTCACCTGGGCGACAGGCGGCTGTGCTCGTGGTTGTGGTGCGCGGCGCGGTACCCGTAACGCTGGACGCGGCGCGCCAGGCGCGCGACACAGAGCCACTGCTCCTGCGCGGCGGGCGCCAGCAGCAGCAGCTCGCGGTGCGCTCACCTGGGCGACAGGCGGCTGTGCTCGTGGTTGTGGTGCGCGGCGCGGTACCCGTAGCGCTGTACGCGACGCGCCAGGCGCGCGACACAGAGCCACTGCTCCTGCGCGGCGGGCGCCAGCAGCAGCAGCTCGCGGTGCGCTCACCTGGGCGACAGGCGGCTGTGCTCGTGGTTGTGGTGCGCGGCGCGGTACCCATAGCGCTGCACGCGGCGCGCCAGGCGCGCGACCCAACGCCGCTGCTCCGCCGAGGCGCTCCCGCGCTCGCGGTGCGCTCACCTGGGCGACAGGCGGCTGTGCTCGTGGTTGTGGTGCGCGGCGCGGTACCCATAGCGCTGCACGCGGCGCGCCAGGCGCGCGACCCAACGCCGCTGCTCCTGCGCGGCGGGCGCCAGCAAAAGAAGCTCGCGGGCGCGATCCGCGTGCAGCTTGCACGCCGCGACGCCCTCGCCCTCCGACACGTGCTCGGCGTGGATCTTCATACGACACCCTGCACCACATTCACATTTCATTACACCCTATCAAAGTCCACGGCTGAACATGGGCCTCCCTGATACATTACAAGGGGGATATTTGCCATAGTAGCTACGCTTGGCTGGATTTCTTGCTGGTTCTCTGGACTTCTTACTGATTCCTCCAATTTTATAGTGGATAAAAAATAACTGTATTCTATTTTGGCAAGCAAATCGCCAATCAGGTTCCTTTTTAGTTGCTATTAGGAAGACACTGATACTGTTCTTATGGTTTCTTTCCTCCTGTCATCTCTTACGACACCCACAGTACAATATGGGGTTGTCGATATTCCAACCGCCTTACCACCACTACGCGGTAAACGGTACTACTTTTAGAGCCGATATTAATAAATTTAGAAGGTCCCCCAATATAGATAAAGAAAGGAAGATTATACCAAATGACACGTTTTTAGATCTTCTCATAATGTGCCGGTGGTTTGATGCGAGCAAAAAATACCCTTGCACTGGTAATGTCTAAATACCGAATCTTAATTTTAAGTGCGGATTTTTACAATTTTTTATGATCAGAGTCCCGTCGAGTTAGATGTGAGGTGGCCGTTTCAAGAAACATGGGGTCAATCAGACATCAGTCAACCAATTTCAATTCAAACGTTATTGAAAAACTTGCGACATTCGACGAATGTGAAACAGCATGAGCTTTTAATCTATATATTAGAATCACCTCTAAACTGATTTTTCTATAGAGTCTGACTAACCCATGTAAGTAACTCACTCTTATATTTAGTTATCTTATCGATCCGGATCGAATTTACTGAAAAAGGGAAACAACCCCAATAATAATATTAATAATTACCGAATAGTGGTGACAACTAGTTAGTAATTCCATAAGAAAAGTTAAATAAACTTTAGATTATGCATTATATATTTGTCATTACTCACGTCGGCACTCGTACGCGTGCGGCGGCCGGAACATATGCCAGAGCGGACGCGTGCACACCTCACACGCCGTGGGGATGTGGTATGTGATGCTGACCAGGTCGTGGCCTTTGTGTTGCACGGTGTTGCCTGCAACGTTACACAACCCAACCGTTCAGCTACCGACAGAGTATTCTTCAGCACCGTACTATGGCTACTATTGTTTCATACGTTGAGTGACGAGAACCAGACACCCTTGATGAGATGTCAATAAGAAGCAAGATCATGTACATGAAATTAGTGTGCGAAATTTCAGATTTTTTAGACATCCGAAAATTGGTACAAATTGAATTATAAAATTCATTACATTCATAATTAGTACATATTATATACTTTTATTTCTTCATAATAATGAAATGAATGGTTTTTTTTCTATAGAGATTATTGCATTATATATGTGTGTGTAGGCGTGCGTACATACCAGCGTGATCGGCGGCGTCCTGCGGCGCGTCTGGTGAGTCGCCGGGGCGGCGCGCCTCGCCCTCGCCCGCGTACAGCAGCTGGAAGATGCGCGGGATGTCCTTCGCGTCCGCGCGGATCACGTCACCCTGCGTCACCGACCGCACGTGGAACACCTTGCTGCCACACACACAACATAAACACACATTTTCAATGTTTCAATTCATTTAAAAACTAAACATAAACTATGAACGCCCCTCTATTAACAACTTTATAGTATCTATAGTAGGTGGACTGTTGCCAAATATAAATCATTTGTGAAGTGGTGTTGTACTTTTTTATTATAGGACAGGGTGACAGACGAGCACACAGTCCACCTGGTGGTAAGTGGTTGTTGTGGCCCAACATCTACATCTATCATCGATCACGAATCAAAATGCAGATGCGTTGTTACACGTGAGGACTAAGATGGAATGCCTCGTTTCCAGTAAAGGGTCTCCAGTTCTCTACACTCACCATACGAAACACAGCAGCATTAAGCTACTATTTGACGCTGGTATTCTGTGAGAGCGTGTTTCCTCCCCGGTCGAGCCGACCCATTCGTGCTACAACTATACTACTAATATAACTGCAGCATGGCTTTACCACGCATAACGTACTGCAGCGGTAGCTAACATACTGGATGACCTTTAACACCATCAGGAAATAATATAGGCAGTGACACTTGAACGGAGTGGAAGCCTCGTGGAAGAAATAAAACAAAAATTTTGAATTAAATACATTAATTAAAATCTATCGAAACTCCTATCATATCCACCCTACTTTGCGAACGATAATACACAAAAAGTAGGCATCTTTGACCTTATCACTTCGCTGGGTCACAGGCTCAAAGGCAAAGCCGCCCGCGCTTTCATCTCTTCAGTTAGTTTTTATATGCTATGGCGTAACGTCGCGTCGCCATCGTATTGTTTATATTTCCGCGTGTGTATCGTAAACATGTACCAATAATGCATAACTAGCCAATTTGGCGATAGGTGGATAGGTCGTGATTGACCTGGAACTGGCTGGCGATATCACGAGACCTAACACCTCTAGACTTTAACTGTGGGCCCAAATAAAAAAATAGGTTTAAAAGGGCAAAGGGGCGCGGGGAGAAAGTTAAAAAAAAATATGGACAATACAAGGCCCATTAGAACAGAGGGAGACGTGTCAGAGGTGCTTACCTTAAAAACTGACAAACGACGAGGAACCGTCAATAAACCAGCGGTTCCATGGACTGTACCACCCAGTGTAGGTGGCTCCACCAAAGGGGCAATTTCCGCGCTGGATGTTCCCAAAACCAGTTCCAAATCTGAGGAGTTGTACGCGAGAAAAGAGCAAGGGACCGCGAGTAGCAAAACTCCTGTGGAGCCCTAAAGAACAGATGACCTTTTCTCTGCCGCCTGGCAAGGTGAGCCGTAAGGGGAAGGGCAATTCACCCAAAATGGTGACTGGCTGACCTGACGGACCATCAGGTGGGTCTATCCCTTCAGGCAATGGTGCAAATGCCAACAAGAAGAATAAGAAGTAACGAGAAAAAGGTCGCAGAGAAAGGGCCGCGCTCGATGTATCTAAGAGCAGCACCAAAGAAGCTGGGCAAGCTAATGCCACTGCGGTGCTTGAGGCTGGAATCAATAGCCGCGCTGAAACTGGGAAGGATGAAAATCCAGCCCAAGTAGTAGGCGTGGCCGCCGGGTCAGATCTAAGACATCCGCCAGGAAGCAGAGATCAGCCAAGTGTCCTGAAAAGAAGGCAAGAGCAGCCAAAAGGACGCTGGAAGAGTCCACCTAGCCAAGAGGCGAGCACAAAAAAGTTCGACTCGAACAGCAACCAAAGACTGCAAGAACGAGCTACGCTTCTACAACTAAAGCACATTTGGGTGTGAGACATACACACATAACGAAGGAGATAGCTGATGACATCCACGTGGCTATACAGAGGAAGATGATCAGCGAGGCCTGGAGTAGCCAGGACCCTGATGTGTCGGACCCAGTTTTAGAGGCAAACCCGTTTACACGGAGGGTGTCCTGAAGCTGTGGTGCGACGATCAGAAGGCTCTGGACTGGTTGAGGAGGAATATTACTATCCTCGACCTCAAATCCAACACCTCGCTGATCATAAAGAAACAGTCAGAGATACCACAGAGAAACAAATATGGTATCCTTATCCCTGATGCCCATGGTGCCTGGAAGGACTCGCGCGACATTTGCCTTGTGCTTGCGTACCAGAACCGCTGAGTAAACATCAGGGACTGACTGCTACTCAAAGCGGATAAACAGATGGACGGATGGTTTCTCGTTGTTTCGGTGCTGGAGAATCATATCCCGACCCTAATGAAAGTCGGGCGCCGTCTCGCACATGTATGTGGGGCGTTAAACGTTAAATTCCAGGATCGTGGAGGCAAATTCTTCGATACTCCACCAAGCAAAGAGGCAGAAAAGGACCCGGAAACCATGGTTACCGGGGCCATGGTTACCGGTACAGTGGAATCACTGGATGCCAAGTCCTATGAAAAAACGGCCTGTAAGCAGCGGAGCCTGTGCTCGGCGGCAGCTCACGGAGTGACGAAAAGGACTGCATTTTGCCGTCCAATTCCGACTCGGGGGCTGTCAATTAGACTTGAGATCTGCTGGCAAGCTTATTTTTGGGCGTGGACGGGGAGAGGACGCGATCAATGATGGCGTGCCATTCGTCCAGAACTGCCCTAGTGCAGGCCAACCTGCACCACAGAGAAAGTGCGTCGGCTCAATTACGCAAGTGGTTGGAAGCACAAAGGATGACCATAGCACCAATCCTCCTGGATTAGTGCTATGGCCGGCCATGGGTCGGGGCTGGTAAAATTAAAGGACTAAATAACCTAAAAAGTAAGTTATTCTAGAACTCTTAGCACAACAAGCCTAGAGCATGTGTTTATACTACTAAAGATATCTGTGCAAAACTATTACCAGATTTCTGTTCCAGAGACATGTATGCCGTAGCACAGGAGAGAAGATTAGTCAACGGACTCCAACGCCCATCATCCCCTTTGGGGAATGGAAAAAGCCAATGAACGGGGTAAGGTGTTAATTGAATATTTAATTAACACTAACCTAACCATTTTAAACACAGGATCTGAACCAACTTTCATAAATAAACGTTGTCGCACAATGACCGACCTCACACGTGCAATATTTTTATAATATCATGAATAGAACCCATACGAAGCCAAGATTTGGTAGTTTAATAAGTTTTAAATTTATCAAATTTCAGGAAAACACCAGATTAACAAATTAACTAACCTTAGATCCAAGATCATAACAGGATCTGTGGTGTTCTGTTTATCGCTCTCCGAGTTGTAGAAGATAATCTTCTTTGAGGAGACGACAACGTACTGCTTGCGCCAGCCGTGGCGACGGATGTTCTGCTTAAAAGGCACAGAGAGCCAGCCCTCCAACGTTTGCTCGGTCTCGCCGTCTTCAGCGTCCGCAGACGACTGAGATGCAGTCTCGCTAGTCAGCGCCGCCAACTTCTCTTTCAGCTGCTCGATCTCGACATCTTTGCTATCCACCTGCCATCACAATTTATAATATGTAATAATAATAATAATAAACATAACCTTATGGTACACCAAAACCAAAATTTTAAGTATTTTGGTAGTTAAATTTGTTAAAAGCAATGTACGTAAGTATAAGTAAGCTCATGTGTTGTTAATTTAGGAGTTTATTAAACTCACTGAGTTTAATTTTAAAATGGTGCATTATAACTAATTCGTGGCGTGGAGGTTCGCACCGGGTCAGCATAAAATAAAATGTATAGTTTTTCACCGTACAGCGACTAAATCGCTAAAAGCTATTGCTTCCAGGCAACCTTTGGATGGACAGAAAGTTAAAACATATATAGACGGTGCCGTGTATATATATATAAAATAAACATAAACACTCACGCCTCTCACCCAGAGGGGTAGGCAGAGACTACAGACTTCCATTTGGCACGATCCTGACACACCTCTCTCGCCCCCTAGACATCCATACATCTCCGCATACATGCTCGTCGGTTAAGGGTACTCCTAATTTGGCCCGTTTTCAATAAATCGCCAATTTGGTCGATGAATTTTCGCCTAGGACGTCCCTTTCCGACTCTGCCATTCACTTCTGCAACATAAATTTTCTTTGTCACTCTTTCCTCATTCATTCTTTCCACATGACCAAACCACCGGAGCATTCCTTTCTTAATCCTGGTCACAACATCATCTTGCAAACCACACTCTTCTCTTATAACACAATTTCTTACCCTGTCATTAAGATTCAGCCCTAACATACTCCTTAACGACCGCATTTCTACTGCGTTCATTCTACTCTCGTGCTTCTTCTGCCACACCCAACTTTCACTACCATACGTTAAAGTAGGGACCAACACAGCATTGTGAATTGCCATACGTGCCTTTTTCGACACATTTTGACTCTTCACAATAGAGTGCAGGGCCCCATTTACTCTATTTCCCGCATTCACTCGTCGTTCTATATCCTTATCATATCTCCCATCCCTGCTCCCTATATATATCGGAAAATAAGATATTAAACTTAATAAATATGTAATTGCCCTAGAAGCATAAATTATAATAAATGAAAATATGTACATTTTTCCATTCCTTTTACACATTAACGTTTTAGCTTGTATCATTTTTTTGAAAGAAAGAAGAAAGAAAGAAAGAGATATTTATTCATATTATTAAATTCAGCAATAACTACTCAAAACATAAATTATAATTAAGTATTCTTATAAGTATACCTAATAACTTACATAAACCTAAAATAAAAGTGAACAGCTACTAATTAAATATGTAATTTAGAAGCATAAATTAATAAAAAAATATGTACATTTTCCATTCCTTTTACACATTAAAACGTTTAAGCTTCTATCATTTTTTGAAAGATAGAAGAAAGAAAGAAAGAGATATTTATTTGGTAAAAAATTAGCAATAACTACTCAAAACATACATTATAATTAGGTATTCTTATAAGTATACTTAATTACTTACACAAACCTCAAATAAAAGTGAAAAGCTAACTTAAAAAAAAAACAACTTTTTTTAAAAAAATGGGAAATGGTCCAAATAGGACTGTCACTCAGGAAACGCTAAGATGTGTCACCCTAGCCCTGATTTTCAGTGGCTACCTTAAGTAAATTATATAGATACACACACATATAATATATATATACATATACATAGATATAAAATATATAAATACGATAAATACACATACACACATGGGCACATATTTTCTATATGTACGGGCACATATAATATATACTTATTTGGATTAATAATACAAGTATATACACAATTGGTAGGTTTTTAATATTTTTTTATATTTACTTTTGGGCCACAACTATCTTATCTTTGTAGTGCTATACCGGTTATTTATGAATGTTAATTTCATTGCATAACTGGAACCGAGGATATAAAAATAATTTAAATTTCGTATAAAAACACTTATACACAATAGCAACCCGAGAGATATGTTCAACATAACATGCTACCGCTTCCATTTAGCATGTTTTATCACATAACCTGCGCTAACACTACGCGCGCAATGGGAAGAAAATAGTGTAATTAGATTGTACATCCGTGACGTATGAAGGAAAAAAATGACAATTATGTGCACTGGAACATACATAGATATACACGCTGAAGCATAAAAACATTTTCACTTGTATCATGGACGATTTTACAAACAAATTGCATTTAGACACACTATCTGACTTTAATAATGAATAGTTTCTGATTGCACGAAATTTTTTACCATAATCTGAAATCGGTCAAAAGTACAATATCGTCGCCATTGATTTCGTATGATTCTGTAAATATGTAAGGATGTAAGGATGTAAGGAAAGCAAATAGCAACATTTTTATTCAAGTGCCAAACTCTTCCGCCTGCGGTGCAAGCTGGGTAATGGAAGTAGAATTACCAGGTATCAATCATGCCCTGATTTCACACTTGCAGATATACAACTAGCAATTAAATATATTGATAATATTATAAACATAATGAAAAATTGATAGACCAGTCACACAATCAGTGCCCTGCATCATGTCTTTTGCAAGGAAATTCTACACATTTTTACCGTATTTATATAATAAATTAAACAAAAAATTGTCTATTTATGAAATCAACAAATGGTCCTGTAAAAATTGGTTTGTGTAATATGTCCAGACACTTTCATACACAGACACTGAACAATTTTAGTCTAAATAAACTCATAAATATACACAAACATACACACAGGCATACCAATAGTCATACACTAACATACATATGTTATAGACATACATGATTTTTATTTTTTATTTCTTTATATCTGTTAATTCGCTCTATATAATATATTTTCTAACCATAACAAATGTGATATCTGTATAAAATACTAAGCGCCTAGTAAATTCGTGGGGAGGCCTGGTGACCTGTAATATGGATCTTTTAACCTACACAGGGACCAGTCTCACACGAATGACATAATATTGTTAACATGGAAAGGTAACACTAATATATCTTCCATGTTGTTTGTGGTGAGAAATAAATAAATAATAATTATTGTATTTATTATAGATGAACTTAATTAAAGTGATCTCACATTGATAGATACAGTATAAAACCACCAACCCAAAGCCATGCTCAACTTATTATAAGAACACACTGACTCACAAATATGTAGATTTTCAACCAACATACAGGTGCAAAAATGTGCACCCAACATTGGACTTTTACATACTGTTAAACTAAAGACCGATTTACACTTCGATAAGTACAGTAGCGAGTTAAGTTACAGGGCAGTTGAAAGTAAACGGTAAAGTGGGCAGTAGCGTTCAAAATATGTCTTCGTGGCGAGTTTAGTTAAGGACATTAGTTCATAGAGTACGTTGGAGTATGACGTTTCAAGACTACAGTATTTTTCCGGTTTTCGTTTAAGATGGTTCTAGGATTACGTATTAAATGATCTAGACAGAGAAGTATTAATGGTTGTTGTTAAAGAAGTTTTTAAGAATTTTCATGTGTGCAGCATCTCAGCAGGTTTAATTTTACAATTTAAACTTCTACTATTATATAAACATTCGTGTTCTAAATACTCCTGTACGAATTTATACGTGATATCTTCTGTCCATTTTATTATACAAACTCAATATAAAACGTATAAATATTCAATAAACACTACCGTACAAACTTTGTGGCGAGTTTCATTATAAAAGTACAATTGTACGTTTTGGCGCGCAAATGTTGCGTCCTGTCAACTTATGCACTGAACTAAACTCGTTCGTTTACACGAACGGCGAGTTTAGTTTCGGATGGCGGGAGACGCGCGGGAGGGCAGCACTTCGCACTTAACTCGCCGAAAAATACCGCCGAAAAATAGCTCGGCCGACTATCTCGTTCAACTTAATCGTTAACTTGCTACTTAACTCGCTTATTGCCGTTCAAACGAGGTTAAAACTTAACTCGCCAGATTCGCAAGTTAACTCGCTACTGTACTTGTCGAAGTTTAAGAAAGAAGGAAAAGAGATGTGTAAGTGCGTCTCAAGAATGCAATACCCCATCTTTCCTATTTGTTGGTCTTGGTAACTTAATTTTTTTTAACACGTTGAACGCCACGCAAAAAATCGAGACTTTCCGTTCGAGCCATGGGGGTCACCGGTGAGCCTTACGTAGTTGTTCCATTCAGGCCACGGGACTCACCGGTGAGCCGCGCAAGAGGTTCACTGTAAACGGGTCTCACAAGCCACAGATTGCAGTTATTAAACAAAACACGTATGGAAGTGAGCCGCGTGGCCCCTGGACTGCTCCAGTCGACGTGGTTTTCAAATCCCATAGAAACTTGTAGGTTGTATCAAAGGTAAAGTTCTAAATACGATCTTAGTGACGTGCCTTATTTTTTGTTTGTATAAATAGCGCGAATAAAACCAAAAGAAAATAATTACGTGTTTATTACATTAAAAATAACTAAAAATTATTAAATCATCGGTTAATCGAACTTTACATGGTACTTTTTTTACAACAAAATCAACTTAAAATAATTAAATTCTTCAAAAACAGAACATAATAATGACGCTTCTTCTGCGATAAAAACTAAACTATATAAATCATCATTAAATGTAACTTATAATGACACTTGTTTTTAGAATCAAATTAAAAACCAACTATTATAAAAACAACATTATGAATGGATTCTAGAAACAAGGTAAGCAAGGAGAAGGTTGGTCTAGACATTTTTGGCAATATGTTAATACCTTTAGTAGTAGTTTTTGATTTAGCTCGTTTGTTACCCATGATTGGTATGTTGTCTGCGTAACCTTAGCAACATGTCCTCCGGACGGTTCTTGTCAAGCCCTCTTTCTTTTCCAGAGTATGTTTCTTTCTTCTCAGTCTTTCACTATATCATCCCCATCACCTTCTTATTTGACCAATTGAATTCCACGGTATTTACTTCCTACTCAGATCTATATTTCTGGCTATAAGCGTTCTTCCTCGATGGCAACTCCATTTAAAATGTTCACGAAACAAACAAAACTGAGCAAAAAAACTTACACGAAACTCGAACGTGGAAAAAAAATACGTGTGGCACTCGGTGACTGCCGCGGTAAAGCTATTGCATAGCATTTTTTATCAACTTATGCAATTATAATTATTTATTTATTTTATTTATGCAGTTAAGTCTTTGATATTAAATCAAGTTACACTTTTTGAGCGTGGTGACCGATAAGAAAACAATTTTTTTTCTCTTATTGAATAAATGAGAAGTTAATATTGTTTAAAATATTTTTAATATCTTACAATACATGTAGGTTATTCAGGAATTTTTATCATTGAGTTAGCAGCTAGTGTACACGCACACAAACACCGTGCCGAAGTCTGCCGAACTAAAACGACGTTAGACGATGCACGGCTTTCAACGCCACACCTCCGTGCCCGTCGGAGTGGGGAGCATGAGGTTTTTTTTTCGTTACGGAATTTCTGGATTCGGTCCCCGCGCTCAAGGCCCGCGATAGAAGCTATACAATAGCTTAACAAGTTTTTCTCAGGTACTAAAGCTTAGAGCATTAAAATAATGAAAAGCAAAACAGCTACATGCCATAATGCAAAAGGGAGGTAAAACAATTAATGCATCAGCAACATTTTGGTCGGAGTGTATCCGAACGATTACGAACGATAGACTCGCTAGTGTTTTTTATCACACTGTGCTGCCAACTTATATCAAACTTTCCGCCAGATTCCACTAGATATTTTTTAGAGCTTAGATATTTAAAAAAAAGTGCTAAGACACTAGAACTGCGCTAGATCCAGCGCCAAATGCGCTAAAACGGCAACACTGAGATGCGCGGTGAGCCGCCGCGTGACCCCGTGGCCCCCGCGTACCGAAATTCTGTAAACCTTCCTAGGAGGCCACGCGGCCCACCGGTGAGCCTCTTGCTATATCTCTTAAACTAGTCCATAGATTTTGCCTATTTTTATTTTCTACGCATATCATTGCATTTACCAAACTTTGGTATAAAAATCTGAAGTTGTGAAAAATTACGGATTACGTGATTTTGAGTTGGCCCCAATGGAAAGTCATGATAGGCCCACCGGTGGGTCGCGCGGCGTTCAACGTGTTAAACATAACGTACCTCCATGGCGAGGCGCAGACGCGTCTGCTGCTCCTCGAGCAACTGCTGCTGCGAGTCTTGCAGGTCGCGCTGCAGCTTGCTGATGTGCTGGTCAAACTTCTCCTTTTCGCGCGTCAACTCCTGCTGCAGCTTGCGGTAGTCCTTGTCCTTGCGCACCGACATCTTGCTCTTGTTCTTCGTCGCCGCCGGATTCATGTCCTTCCTATGTCATAACATGATAACGCATGAATAAAACATATACATTATAATATGTGGTAGTCACGCTACAGTTATATTATGGTTGAAACAAGAATGGGTCGGCTTGTCTGGAGAAAGACCAGGCTTTCATACCAGCGTAAAATAACAGCTTAAGGCTGCTATGTTTTATATGGAAGTGTAGAGAAGAAGAGACCACTTTTGCTCGAAACGAGAGTCACATTCCATCTTGGTGACAAAAGTGTGACAACACATTTTCTACATTTTGATTCTTAAACGAGGATAGAATGTAGAATGTAGATAACCATGGGCCACAGCACAAGTGGATGCTATGGCACATAGTCATCTACCAACAAAGAAAGACAGCCAGAGCATTGCCGACATTTTAAGTTGTGCTGAAACTAAACATGCTCAATTCTTCCAAACGCACTCATATAATCATCTTTCTACTTTCTTTCTTTATAAGCCCATAAGTCCACTGTTGGATAGTTACACATATATGTATCTAAAATCATGTTATTTGTTGCGAATAATTTAAGGAGCATATATGACTTCTTCTTTCCATGCGCATGATCGCGGAGAAGTTTCTGGCCAAAAACCAGAAGGTTTTTTTTGTGCGTTCATGGACTTGGAAAAGGCCTATGACAGAGTGGATAGGGATTTGCTATGGCAAACACTGAACTCATTTGGGTTGAGCGCTGGCTTGATACAGGCATTAGAGTCTCTTTATAGGGACTCTAGTGCTTGTGTTAGGATCAACGGGGTCTACTCGGACTGGTTTGACATCCATAAAGGTGTCAGACAGGGCTGTGTGGCTTCCCCGTGGCTGTTCAACCTATTTATGGACAGTTGCAAAATTGAAGAATGCGGATTAAGAATGGGTGAGTTAACCGTCAAATGCCTTTTGTACGCCGATGATCAAGTTACTCTTGCATCGTCGGCGGCCGAGTTGCAAATGATGGTTACATTAATGAACAGATCATTAAAAGAAAGGGGTATGAAAGTGAACGCAAGTAAGACGAAGGTTATGGTTTTTGAAAGAGAAGAAAATAAAACGATTTGTGAAATAAGAATAGAAGGGGAGTTGATCGAGCAAGTAGATGAGTTTGTATATTTGGGCTGCGTATTTAGCAGGGATGGGAGATATGATAAGGATATAGAACGACGAGTGAATGCGGGAAATAGAGTAAATGGGGCCCTGCACTCTATTGTGAAGAGTCAAAATGTGTCGAAAAAGGCACGTATGGCAATTCACAATGCTGTGTTGGTCCCTACTTTAACATATGGTAGTGAAAGTTGGGTATGGCAGAAGAAGCACGAGAGTAGAATAAACGCAGTAGAAATGCGGTCCTTAAGGAGTATGTTAAGCTGAATCTGAATGACAGGGTAAGAAATTGTGTAATAAGAGAAGAGTGTGGTTTGCAAGATGATGTTGTGACCAAGATTAAGAAAGGAATGCTTCGGTGGTTTGGTCACATGGAAAGAATGAATGAGGAAAGAGTGACAAAGAAAATTTATAGTGCAGAAGTGAATGGCAGAGTCGGAAAAGGGACGTCCTAGGCGAAACTTTATCGACCAAATTGGCGATTTATTGAAAACGGGCCATATTAGGAGTACCCTTAACCGACGAGCATGTATGCGTAGGTGTATGGATGTGAAGGAGGCAAGAGAGGTGTGTCAGGATCGTGCCAAATGGAAGTCTGTAGTCTCTGCCTACCCCTCTGGGTGACAGGCGTGAGTGTTTATGTTTATATATGACTTCTGCGGCACTTTAAATGTAAGCAGTGCTCCATCTATATTTCTTTGTTGGTGAACTGATAGAACAGGAGTCCACCACCTAGTGAAAACTAATTTACTAAATAAATCTTTACCTCAATTCATCACGCAAAAGGAAAACAAAATAAGTATTGCATGTTCTGACCTGTTCATGATCTCGGCGAGCTTATTGACGGCCTGCTGCTTGAGTATGATCTCGGAGTTGAGCTTCTTGTTGAGGCGCTCCACCTCGTCCTGCAGCCGCTGCAGCGTGGCCACGCGCTCCGCCAGTGCTGTACCGCTGCGCCGCAGCTCGTCCGCTTCCTGCCACACACACATATGGCCTTAGTGCAAACAGTAGTTCATCCGTGTAGTGGCGGTGAAAGACAATCTAGTACCCCATACCATCCCATGGGTGAAGTAAGAGGCGACAAAGGAAAATGCAACAGGGGATTGTTCATCTGCCTGCCAAGCGTGGCAAATATGGCAAACATTTCCCACTATGACTTTTTAGAGCCTGTTACGATGAAATTATATTAGATATAGATGATGAATCAGACTCAGGTTTAAACTAGAATCTGTTTTACAAAACAAGTTCCGCGGAAATATGCGAACTAAAGTGTTAAGTATGGAATTTGACAGTAAATGTCATATATTTCACGAAGAAAGTGGCGCCGCGATTAAGGGATTTCTTTAATTAGAAGGACTAGACATATATCATAGTTTTAACCCAAATCAACAGCCTTGGATAATTTTATATTGCATTATAGGATTCTTTTAATTGATGCCGTGGTTATTGTGGTAAATATTATATTAGTAAAAGAAAAGGACGTCATGTAGCGTGGAGACTGCCCCATGTCACATCGTGACTAGCAGTATAGATAAAGGTTATGTAGCGGAGAGGCTGTCCTATGGCACATCGTCGCAGTGAATGAATACAGAATGCTGGGGGGAAGTGCGGGACATTGCTACTATTTTCGGGATGTTTTCGCTGTTAGTCTATGCGACTCTTACAGCTTAACCTGACTCAAGGCTAAAAAGCTAATTAAAAAAAAGGGAAAGGCAATGACGTGAGGATGACGATGAAATGGTTTATGGTTTGCTATTAATACCAATCATTGTCGCATTTTAGGCGTTATTGAGCTATCTAACCGCTGTCCAAGGGGGGGAGTGCGGACCCCCTCTGACTGCTCAGCTCGTGTCGGTCGAGGGTCTGGGCGGTAGGAACCGCCCAAGAACGCGGGTGTACGGTGTGTACGCGGTGCGTGCTAGAACGCGTCGTAGCGGTCTACGGATGCGACGCGCCCCATTCGTAATCCTAAGAGTGTTTGTCCCAATTTGTGTGGGTGTAGTGTCATTGTGCGGGACCTTGCGCTGCAGGTCGATGGTGGCGCGATTCTCGTGGTCGCGGTCGCGCAGGCTCTGCACCAGGGCATCCCGCGCCGCAAGCTCGCCGCTCTGCTGAGCCAGCGCCTCACGCATCTCCAACTCCTTCATTGTCTTTTCTTTCTCCAACTCGCCCACCGTCTCCTCAGCTATCGATCTGTAACATAACGGCATACAACTTTAATAACTTTTATAATTATAGTCCATAAACTAAAACTAGCAAAGCCGAACCTATCGACGTTGTTAATGTTACCGAGAAAGAATGGGATAGGTACCCGAGATGAGAAGTGGCTGGGGAAGCAGCATTTCTAATTATATAAGTAAGATTATGCATATTTACCATCACTTATATTTTATGACATAATTGGTGACTTTTTCCTTAAAATATCTAACCATGTACTGCAAATACAACTCTTACAATTATATACTTAAAGTCGTCATTCAACCGACGATGACCTCGGCATCGAAGTTCGCTATGTCTTAACATCGTAATGTAAATATAACTCTTATTCATAAATTACTTAGACTGTCATTCATCTAACGATGATATCGACGCGATCGATATCTAAACGCGTACTGCAAATATAACCTTTACTTGTGTATGGTTATTAGATCGTCATTCACTTGTTAAACGAAAATATCGACGCTCGCGATCACTAACCGTGTACTACAAATGCAACTCTTACTCCTATAGACTTTAGATTCTAATTCACCTGGCGATGGCCTCGGCGTCAGCGCGCGCGATGGCCAGCTGCAGCTGATGCATGAGGCCGGCGCGCTCGTGCTCCAGGTCGCGCGCGGCGCGGTTGCTCTCCTCCAGCTGCGAGCGCGCCTCGCTCGCCTGCGTGCGGTACACCGCGCAGTAGTGCTGCTCGCTCTCCAGCTGCGAGCGCAGCTCCTCGCACTGCACACAATATACACAATTTATAAAAAAATTTATTGATTTAATTTTTCTATCCACTATGTCTTAGCACCTACTCCAAGCCTATAATGTGGGTCTAGTTTACCAAGTAACAAATCTGCGTCACAAACCGGAGCACGACTACTAAGGCGACACCGCGAAAAAATGCACTCCTTTCATCGAATAGTATAGGACTATAACTAAAGTGGAATTTTGATATAGGTAAATTCATGTCGTTTATCTTGAATTTGCTTGTTCAAAAACACGATTGTATAATTTTGATTGATCATAATTATTTACGGAAACTCCTCCATAAAACCACTATGGTTGAAATTACAACGAAATCATTTGATCTATATGCTAGGGAATCACTCAAATATATTCATAACAACAATATTCATAATTTACTTGCTCACTATTTTGATTACTTTAATCAATAATTTTTTTGAAATTATTTTAAGATTCTGACAATTTCTAAGCGGTCTTAATCGTCGGGGGAGCTATGCAATTTTAGACCTTATGAAATCGGCGACCTGTTCTTTGGTAATCGGCATTGGAACAGGTCGCCGAGTACTACTAGGTACGCCGAGTTTGGACTTGTTTTGTTAGGTATGATGAATTCTTACCTTCGGACTTGACGGAGTGACCTGAAGCCCAAACACGGCACACCTAGTAGTACTCACAACCAGTTCCAATAGCGATTACCAAAGTACACCTTCAGGTCACTCCGTCAAGTCCGGAGGTAAGGGCTCGTCATACCTAACAAAACGAGCCCAAACTCGGCACACCTAGTAGTACTCGGCGACCTGTTCCAATACCGATTACCAAAGTACACCTTCAGATCACTCCGTCAAGTCCGGAGGTAAGGGCTCGTCATACCTAATAAAACGAGCCCAAACTCGGCACACCTAATAGTACTCGGTGACCTGTTCCAATGCCGATTACCAAAGTACACCTTCAGGTCACTCCATCAAGTCCGGAGGTAAGGTAATAGAAAACAGTAAAATAAATTTGAATTTTCTAATGGTTTTATTTGAAACTATTCTTTTTCTCTTATTTTAGCTATTTTGCCAACGAAACTTTGTTTTTTTTAGAATTTGTGAGTTGGCGTTTTAAATGTTTATGTATGTAAATAATAAATAATAATCTAAGTACCTGCTCATATCATAAAACTGACTTTAAAAAAATATTGATAATTAAAATGTAGTATGATGTCCAGACTACCGAAATTGTAAACAGATTTGATATTAGTGAGTAGGTACTCAAAATATTATTACTATAATACCTAGTAGTGTTGAGAACAGTAGACCTCACGGAAAAGTTTTTGTTTGGAGGTGAATTGTCTGCATGCTTTGCGCAACTGTGTTCACGCTGCGCTCTCCGACAGCCGGTTGCGCTCCGCCCACTGCGGGGCGCGCGGGTGAAAAACGAATTTGAAATCGTGCTAAGACCTCGTCTTAAGTGTTAAAAACGTCATTTTTGCCCCACCATTAAGACCTGTATTTACTTTGCCCGCAATTACTAATTACCTGCAAGTGCAGGTGATTAGTAATTGCGGGTGATTAGTGTATGTGTATAGTGTAAGTAGTATGCAATTCTGTTTAGTGGCTGTGTTTAGTTAAGTCACATGTTAGCCATTGACCAGCAAGTACTCTGTTTAACTTTCCTTAACCTCTGGCGAATATGTAGATCTCAAGTTTCTTATTTTAGTATAAACTTCTTTACTTCCCAACCCCGGTATGTCGATAGCTTCACTTATACGTAGGAATGCCACATCTCGGACTCTTTTAATTTTGCAGCTAGGGTATTTACTATTGTAAGACATTTATTAGATATTCCTGAACAAATTTATAGGTTGTCTTCGGTCCATTTTGCCATTTTTGCAACATAAGCGAGCGTCCGACGCTAACACTATTATCCAGACGTGTTTAGTGAAGGACATACTGCGTGTGAGAGGGAAGGGAGGACGCAGGAGACGTGGATACTCGCAGTTCACTCTCAAAAAAATAGAACACGCTTCTAATCACTTTACTACACAGATTACTAATCACTTGCACTAATCAATGGTTGTTCACAAGCATTTACTCCTAATCACTAAGCACCCGCACTAATCACTAATCAAAGTGAATACAGACCTCTAGGGATAGAATTTTTACTCGAATAATATAGTAATATCTTTGAATAACCTATTTATTTTTGAAGATGGCTATGAAGGTATTCGCAAGAACATGACCTCATGACGATTGCTGTTTCTATATTATCGTGCAAATAGTTTCAAATGGATGTTGTGACGTTTTAAATGGTTCTATTTATTGCATTCAAAGTTACTTAAATTTAATAATATGTGACAAATTCCTCAAAATACTAAGTAATTTAAATTCATCAGAAACTACTAAAATAGAGGTCGTACTTCCAAATACGGTAACATGCTTAACAAACTAATAACATTCAAAATAAAGATTTTACAATATGACCACAGACAAGAATTTAGCTTCCTGTATTATCATTTAAAAGATTCGAAAGAAAATATGTAATATTGGGTCCTTACATATAAAATGAGCGTTTTGTCGTACTGACCACTTTGATCTGAAATATCTCCTTTTTGGATAAGAATTCCAAATTCAAATTTATAAATTCATTTAGCTGGTACATTTGAGTTTTGAAGACAGTCATTCATATGTTTTTTCCTCATTATTTTTTCTTTGGTGTCGCTTATTACCACACAATCGAAAACATGAAATATCGGTATATTTACGAGTAAGAGTTCTACCGTGGCACCAGTGCTGCAGAAACAGCAGGAAGGATTAATGATGTGTACGGCATTGGTATCGCAAAAGAAACCACGGTACGTTTTTGTTTTCAACGTTTTCGTTCTGGAAATTTCGACCTTCAGAACTAACTCCGTGGACGGCCGGAGACGAAAGTGGAAAATGAAGAATTAAATTCTATAGTGGAAGCGCATCCATCACAAAGCACTTCAGACATATCTGCAGGCTTCGGGGTAAGTGATAAAACTGTATTTATCCACTTGAAGCATATCGGGAAAGTAAAAAAAAACTTGAACAATCGGTACCTCATGAATTGAGTGAATCGAACTTGCAAATCGAACTTGAAAACTCAATCGACACAAAAATGAAGGGATTTTAAATCGAATCACTTGTGATGAAAAATGCATACTGTACGATAATCGGAAGCGCTCGTCGCAATGCCTGAACCCTGAAGACCCAGCCAAATCCTGCCCTAAACGAAAATTGACTCAGGAAAAGTTACTTGTGAGTGTTTGGTGGACTAGCGCCGGTGTCGTTCACTACAGGTTTCTAAAATCTGGCCAAACGATTACGGCAGATATCTATTGTGAGCAACTGCAAACCATGAAGGAAGAAGCTGCTAAACAACCGAGATTGGTCAATCGCTCTAGGCCACTGCTGCTTCACGACAACGCAAGACCACACACTGCTCAACAAACAACCACTAAGTTAGATGACCTACAATTGGAATGTCTGCGACATCCACCGTACTCCCCGGATTTTGCTCCAACAGATTACCATTTTTTCCGGAATTTGGACAACTTCTTACAAGGAAAAAAATTCAACTCCGATGCGGCAGTCCAAACCGCCTTCAAAGAGTTTATTGATTCTCGCCCCCATGGTTATTTTAGTAAAGGGATTAATGAACTACCTATGAGATGGCAAAAGTGCATAGATAACAACGGTGCATATTTTGATTAAATAAATATATTTTACAAAAAAATTTATATTCCTCCCGTACAAAACGTCAACTTCATATGTAAGGAACTATTATTTGATACATAATAGAGGTACGATTTTGTACATTAATGTTTGAGAATATGGCAAAAAAGTAAAATAAGGTTCGGTGGTTAAATAAATCTCAAGTTATTTTGTACGCGGTGGCACATTGAAATATAATCGTCAATGACTGGTTGTTTGACAAGCTGCGATTCCTACTAAGATCATTCTAGCATTTCCTATAACCGCTTCTTACATCATCCACAGAACGAAATCGATTGATGCATTCTTTTGGACCGTCAAAAAAGTATTTGTTAATTTCGATAGATTTTTGCTTACGGTTTAGCTATATGTCGGAGTCATGTGGGAATTGTCACTTTATACATTTTTAAAGGGGCAAGTCTGACGTGACTCCGACTTCTAATACTAATACCAAAATAATATATAAAGATATTAGTTTATATACCTTTTAAATTGTATATTTATATATATACTTATTGTAATTTTTTCTTTGAATATGAATACGATAAAGTGTTAAGTAATAACAAGTTTGTGCAATGCTTCGTATAACTATGTATTAAATACATGCACATTTTATAATATGAATCAAATGACTAAATCAAGAGACGACACTGACCTTACAAAGTGCTTACGTCATTCAAAACAAACTCATCGCAGTAGACCTATAAAGCGAATTAAAACCAATGTAAACGTAAATAAACATAACAGCGCAATAAAAATAGGCAGAGACGTCCAGGAAATAAAGCGTCGTCAAGACATTTTCAGCTTATTAAAACACGTAATAAATACGTGCACTTTATACGGGCCGATACATTTAATGTGGTCAGTGTTTGTTAAACATTTATATCAACAAATTCACGGAGCGCGTTATATTGCATCGATACACCGTTTATCGCTCGATTTGACTTCACAGAGAGCTGATTGCTAGTTTCAATATTGATACCGCAAGGTGTTAACGCGCAAGTTTAGAGTGATAATAGAATAAAAATTACAGGACCCTCAGATGCATGTTTAAACTGCATTGAATAGAAATTCACCTTTTAATCTAGTTAAAAATAGATAGCAGTCAGGCAAAGTAAAACGTAAAAAATATATTAACAAAACGCGCCTGAAATTTTTTGCTTAATCGTAAAAAAGAGTAAAGGGATATCACCTCGTTTATCTTGCAGATTATTAGCCAATTGCAGTATTATATGTAGAACTTTTTATTACATATTCAGACAAACACCATAACTTCTCATTATAAATATTATAATGCAGATGCGTTGTCACCCCTAAGAGGTAAAATGGAATTCCTCGCTACTTATTAAAATGGGTTCCGATTCTCTTCCCTCACCGTTTGAAACAATGTAAAATAACGATGATGTTTTATCCTGGTATTCTCTTGAACGTGGAACTTCCACGACCGAATCAATCGATTCGTAATGAAACCGCAATTCAGCTTAAGCACACTCTACCAAAAAAATACTTATTTGGTATAGTATATTTAAAGCATAACAGTTATATACTCGCAGATTCTAGGAATGCTTATCAAATTTCTCAAGTTTGCATCTAAGCTTTTCGTAGAATCGGTCTATCTCATTTATTAGGAAACAAACGAGTAAAGTAGTTTGTAACGGTATCGAACCAGTGTTATGATTAAATTCTTCATTAATTAATTATAAAGTAAAGTAAATTTTGTAAAATTATTAGTAAAAAAAATGAGTCGTGGTAGCTCAGATGGTCAACACTCGCTGTAAATATAACAGAACGCGAGTAACCCGGGTTCGATCCCCGCTGGCACCAATGAAATTGTTAATTGCAATTTTAAGTGCTGATTTACCACGTGCTTGGAGATGAAGGAAAATATCGTGAGGAATCCTGCATGTCCGAGGAATAAGAAAAAAAATATTTCGAAAACATGTGAAATTCGCCAACACTCATTGGGGCAGCGCGGAGTACACTTCCTTGTCCTAAAACCCTCTCAGAAATGAGGGGAGGCCTGTGCCCAGCAGTGGGACGTATATAAGCTGTAACTTTACTAACTTTAAAGTAAAATTACAGTAACAGCCCACATAGACCGCTGATAAGCACATACCTCTAATTTCTGAGAGTGCTAAGAGAGCAGGGAAGAGTTCACCATGCTGGCGCAATGCATGTTGGTAAACTACCGTAACCGTAAACTGTCCCGAAAACATACAGTGAAACCTGGTTAAGTGGGCCCTGGATATATGAGAAACATCTGTTATTGATAACTAAAATGAGGTCCCGACACTTTTGAATTGAAATACCTCTGTTACTGGGAATTTCCAACCTTGTTAACTAAGATTAGATTTTATAGAATTTTTCACTGTTTACCTCTATATTTGGAATTCGTAGCTGAGTAATCCGTATAAGTGAGACAATGTATCCTATAAAATTTCCACCTCTATATGATAAATGGTACATTTCAACCTCTCATAATGGGGAGCCTCTATAAATAACACAACTGTCATGTTAACCTGCCTATTTGGGAAACTGGGTAAATGAAAAGTGATGTGATAAAAAATTCTAGGTCCCTTGAGATCCCAGTTAACCAGGTTTTACTGTATTTAATTTCTCAAAGATACGTGTCAACGATTAGCACCATTCGAAAATGCCGAAAAGAATCTCACCACTAGTGATGAATAGAGCATTACCATAGCAATAAATATTTCAAAACCAATTTTACAAATGTCTCGCCGCCCAGATAGACTTTTACATACAACACTCATTTTAGGAATTTCTCCTGTATATAGAAAGGCTTCTTACATAAATAATCTTCTTGCTGGTAACCGTTACGCCTCTTATAAACCGACGTAGACGAACTTGAAACAATTATTTTCATATTATAATAAACTTAAATTGCATTTAAATAGTTGATGTTATTCTCTACCCTCACACTGAATTCAATAGGTAAAAATTTGAAAAATATTGACATTTATGTTGACATGTATATTATATATGTAATGCTTTGCATACATACACGCACACTCACATAGACGAGCGCGAGAACATACATACCAATACAAACATTGCATCATATTATATAATGTTGCTTTTTCTAAACATTTGCTCCGAACACGATAACTTTATCTGAAAGAATAATTGACCTTATTAATCATATATTGAGGCTAATTATAAGAAACTGCGTGTAGTAGCGGCATAAAAGAATTCACTACCTACCTCATTTCATCCCGTAGATATCGTAAAAGACAATAGAGGGAAATGAAATAGGATTTGTGCGGCAGCATCTCCCAATATAAAATAATATAAAAGAAATTATGGCAAAGATTTATTTGTCCCCATATAGGGGCAGGCTTAGATTCAGCAGTGGTGTTTCGGCAGGCAGTAATAATGCGCCCTCCTTTCACCGTCCTTTAAGCGTCCGTTTACGGCTTAAAGATCTCTCGCTAGATCATTAAGCCAACTCCAAAAGGTGGTGTTTAGTGGGTAAGTCTCCACATAAGCACGCAGCCGGCTGCGTGGTATGCTATGAGCATTCACCGCCTCCCTTCCGCGTTACCGGAGGGTTGCCCTTATTTGCTTCGGGCGCAAAAAAAAAGCAGTAATAAATGAATAAATCAAAAATTAAAAGAACACTATATTACTGCAGTTTGATATGAACATTCGGAATCACACAAAAAACACCCAGTGTAATCCATACAAAAAGTTGTTCCGTGTGGGATTTGATTCCGCGGCCCATACCGCCGCGCCATTTGCCATGCATTAGCTCAGCGCTACCGAATAGTCGGAAGTTTATATAATTTTTCTAATTGTTTAATACGGCCGCGATTGTGAAATCTCTGTTCTTTCGCGTACAGTCGATCACACGTGATGCGTAACTTGAACGTCACTTTAATAAGAGATATTCGCGGTGATAGCAAATAATCTGCGGGGTTTATTGTTTCTGGTAGACTGCTCGGTCCGAGTGTGAAGCATCGCATACTATCCAATTTGAAAATGGTTACAATAACCAGTATAATAAGTACTCTATCACACGGCCTTATTACGAACGCAATCAGGATAAATAACATTTTGATTTAATGATTTAATTGTACATTTGAGGACATGTTGATAGCGCACATTGTTTACTACAAAACAAACGTCACATACGAACATTATGACCTGTCAAATAAAATTTCTAGTTCTATCTAGGTTACATAGTATTCAAATACGACCAGATTTCTCCTAGAACAACTAAATTTTGTGCAGTCTATCATAATGAAATATGGAAATTATTATTACGTATGAAATAAAAATCTACGGACTTTATTACATATTCATTCACTGAAGAAAGTTATGAAACTTTTTTGACAACTCTTATAATGTTATTAACGTCTCGGTATAACAATTACAAATTGGTATTTTTCTCATTCATCAAAATAATTCGAACAACATCTCGATAATGTTCTAAGTGTAAACTATGGGATTTCGTAGACAGTTTCATGGACTCTGATAAATGCCAAACGGCGACAATTAACAACGTCGGAGATGCATGTGATACTATGTGCTATTGAGTAGTTAAGTTTAGCGATTAATGTAAATCCTACAATGGGAGGTCCAAGTCCAAAATAAGGAAGAATATTTATAACTACTAAAAGTATAAAAAACTTATATTTTACTTTTGACAATAATATACATTAGCAATTTAATTTAAAAAAAATCAATAGATTATGATTTTGCCGTTTTCAAGCTTTGCGTTGGTACAAAAATTGAATCAACAAATTATCTAGCTATGACAATTCTCTATTTCAAAAAACCATAATATAACTCTTATAAATAAATTCTAACGGCAACATTCCTTGAAAAATTATGAATGTGTTCTATTAATTTTTAAATGACTAAATTCTTACAGTACAGAAAAACCACAGCAATACGTAATACAATATTTATTTGGAGACACTGCAGGTGTCGTTTAAGGTAAAAACGGTTTATATACATATATTTGCATTGGTCTCGTGAGTCATTGTGTCGTAACAGCGCGAAGAACAAAATCTATTTCGGAGTGATGAGACTATGATTAATTCACAGAACAGTAAAAGCCTTTACGCGGTTACGTCCCTCCAACGAAACCTGTTGTAAAATTCACCTTTAAAATTACGCGCGACTTAATTTTTATGTTATGTGACTCATATTTTTGATTATAATCATAAATATTTTAATAAAAGACTTCTTAAAGTTTCCTTAAATGCAATATCCTATACCTTTAAACGAGCAATTCTTGTATATATATATAATCGGAATCTCGGAAACGGCTCCAACGATTTTCATAAAATTTTGTTTCCAGGGAATTTCGGGGGCAATAAATCGATCTAGCTAGGATTTATTTTTATAAAATGTCTTTTTGTCCGTGTTTTCAGGCAATGAAAAACTGCTACAATATAAGAAGGTTAATTTTGACATTGTGTTAATGATCGTAATAGCTCAAGTGGATATCGAGCCTTGGTTCGCGTCCTGCTTCGGTCCGAATTTTTTTCTTTTTTTTTTCAATTTCCCTTCTTTTGTGAGAAAATCTATTATTTCGAGCCCTTTTTTGGTATTTTTTAAAAATACGAAAATTTTAATTAAACTAATTGCACAATTTTTTATATTAAAACCGAGCAAAGCTTGATCATCCAGGTACTTATATTAATGCAAGATTGTGAAATATATCTTTGTGTACCACAACAGAAGATAAAACTTTAAAAGCAAAGTTACGTATTATATTATGTTTAAAAATTAGACATTAAATGTATTTTAAAAAAAAAAAAAAAACATACGAATATACACCAAAAAATAATCAGTAATTGACAATTGACATACATTCACCTGCGTGTACCTAGTGCTAGTCGCAAGCGCGGTACACTCAGTCGCGCATACTTTGTGCATGGTGCAAGCGCGGTATACTTACCGCGTATATTTAGTGCATGGTGCATACATAGTACACTTAGTCACACATATATGAAGTGCAAGTCGCGAGCACGATACACTCACCCGCGCGTACCTAATGCAAAATACAAGCGCGATACACTCACCGCGCATATTTAGTGCACGGTACAGTCAGCCACATGTAAAGCTCTACCTTGTCGAAAGCATGGTACACTCACCCGCGCGAACTGCATGTCGCGCTCGGCGCTGGCAGCGGCAAGCTTCTCCGAGGTATCGTGCAATGCGGTGCGCACGGCGAGTAGGTCACGAGCACGCGCGTCTCTTTCGGCCGCGGCGGCTCTAGCTGCCGCCTCCGCTGCCGCCGTCTCTCCGCTTGCTGCCAAGCGCGCCGTCCGTTCTTGCTCCAACGCCGCAGCGAGACCCACAACCTAACCGAAAACACTATTATCAATATCGTGCTATGGATGTTAAAAGTAATCTTGCCTTAATGCAGGCAAGACTATTCTTATATAATATTGGTGACAGAAACACTTCAGTAAATATTGGTATTTTAAGACTTTGTTTTAAGATATTTAGAGGGACACACAAACTTCACAAGTAAATTCATTTGTCAAGACCATATATAGAGATATGGTATAGTAAATATTCGTATACCGCCACTACACGGTTTAATTGCCGCCTATTAGGGTCATTGACCATTAGCAGATTATTCCCTATATCGTAGCGTGGGTGTCATAAGAGGCCACAAGGGGAAACTAAACAGGAGATGGGTAGAAGCATCTTCTTGGTAACAATCAAAATAAAAATAAAAACTGGGATTGCCAACCCGCCTATATATATATTCGCAGGCCGAGAAACTCTCTCTCGGGCCCCCCCAACAAGCTTTCGGCTGACCTGAACTGCCTCCTGGCGGCTCAGGCCAAGCCTACTTAACTCATCTCATAATCTGCCTTAGTTAGGCACACTTCTAAGCGGCTACTCGCCGCTTGCGCCCTCCTATCAGCCAAGTAGGGTCGCGTCAGTTTACGGCTTAAAGATCTCTCGTTAGATCATTAAGCCAATCCCAAAAGGTGGAGTTTAGTGGGTAAAAGTCCACACATAACAACGCTGCTTGGTATGCTATGAGCATTCACCACCTCCCTCCCCCGTTTCCGGAGAGAAAAAAACACTTCTATGCATACTACTATACCGGCAATTCAGAACAAAAACAGTATCACAGCCGCGGATCGCCCGGGTGCGGTGCCGACTCGACGGAGCGGGTAGTTGGAACGATAAATATGCCACGCAGTCATATTATCATTTACGACAGTTGTTTTTAAGCAAATAAGAAATAAAGTTAAATACACATCTGAAATAAAGTTCAAATAACGTTAAAAAAACGCACATAAATAATGACAGCGTTTTCTTAGTCGTATTAAACAAAATCAGTGTTTGATTGTCGAAAACAACGTTCGTGGCAACACGCGTAACTTAGTGTGCAATATATTTAATGTCGCAGAGCCCGTCTAGTGGCATAAATAGAAATCTTTGGTAACAAACTAATTTGTACTTCAAATAATTTCTCAATATAATTTGATACAACAGATATTATTACAATCTTTAATAGACTGAAAACAACAGGCTCTCTCAAGCCTTTTACTAGAAATTAAGATTCCTAGATCTCATAATTAAGATTCCTTCTTATGTAGGAAGATTATTTTTTAAATCGAACTTACGATAACGATATAAAGTCACAGTTGTGTAAGGACAAATCTTACGCTCTTTCATTTTCATTGTGTTCTTATTGATATTGAGTTTATCGTTAAACTTTACACACAAAACGTACCTTTTCGCTTTCTTGTCGATGTTCACCTTCCAACTTCTGCAATCGTTGCTGCATTTGTCGATAGTCCACACTAAGCATCGACATCTGCCGATCTTTTTCCTGACAAGCAGCTTCGGCTCGTTGTCGCCCAGTCTTCTCTTCATTAAGTTTACCTTGTAAGGCTGACAATCACAATACATTAAAACTTTATGCTTGAATAATGTTATTGAACTGTTAAACGTATTCGATTATTAGATTATATATTTGAAATGATAAAAATTGAAGTGATCTTATTATTTGTAGCTTGAGCTATGAATGATATTGACTCAAATTAATCAAACTTCATTATAAAGCAATAAATAAATCTATGTAAGGACGAATAGGGAACTACTACTTATATGCAAGGTAATACTTATTAGCAAAATGAACAATACCTTTTAATATTTTTTCCAATGTTCCTGATGCATGCAAAAATTCAATTATCAAATTACAATCGCAATCGCATCAATATGGAGTTTACATATTTATAGCACATGTATTGATGGGAGCAGACATCTAAAAGCTTTGGGAAAAATATTTTCACACATAAACTCACCCTTTACTATTTCTAAATTGGCTTCCTGTTTAGAGAGCAGCTGAGAGCGCTGGGTGTCTTGATGTGCACGGACTTCTTGTTGGTAGAGATGTTGGGATGCGCGAAGCTCGTGTGTTAAAGATGCACACTCTTTCTCTAGCGAGGATACACGCTCTGATAGTTGACGATTATCATTCATGATCTGTCCCATTCTCGCTGAAGATCGCTCCAGATCTACGTGAGCGGCATTTAGCCTATTGGTAGCTTCCGTGACTGATGCATCGGACCGTTGCTTAGCCGCTTTTAAGGCTGCAAGTTCTTCGGACAACGCACATCTTTCTCTTTCCAGAGTGTCACGTTGAGCACGTAAGTTTGCCATTGTCCCATCACTAACAGCAGCGGCGGCAGCCTGTGCAGCACTCAACTCGGCGGCTTGTTTTCGAGATTTGGCTGCTGCTTCTGACTCCTGTTTTAATTTTTCACGCATCTCTGACAACTGCTTCTCCAACAAAATAATTTTATCATTATAGTTTTGCAAATTGGTCATTTCTTTAGCTCTCTTACTTTGTTCCTCTTCAAGTCGACGTTTAATATCGCTATAGTTGAATTCTGCTTTCCGTCTGGCATCTGATTCTGCCTCAGCTTTACGTTGAATGTCTTTAAGATCATGTTTGAGTAAAGCCAATTCCTTGTCAGTGTCAGCTATGATTTTTTTATTTCTAGATTCTCTTTGAGCTAATTCTTCTAACTGAGCGCAAAGCATAACTTGTCTATCTTCCAATTTCCGTCTTCCATCTCTTTCTCTCTCCAAAAGTTTTTCCAACTGTAATATTGCTTCAGATCCAACATTGTTTAAATGGTTGTTTGAAATAGTATCAACTACATCCACTGCTTTCCTTTTTCCTGCACAGAGTTGGTAGTCACCATTGTAGGTAAAGCCTACAAAAGGCAAATGATTGCCTACAAAAGCCTTTGGAACAGGAAAAGACTCATCGAGTGCATCAGATTTCTCAATATCATCAAAATTTCTTGTGTCATCGTCACTAGAGAGTTCTGGCACTACTGGGGGAACTGAATCCCTTAAATTTTCAAAGCTCCATTGATCATTAATAAAGAATGGATGTTGCTTAATTTCATCAACACTATTTTTACCAAGCCTTCTGGTTCTGTCTGTTAGGAGTCCTCTTATAAGAGATTTAGCATCTTTCGATATTTCAACATCATCGGGAAATTGCAAGGAATTCCTATGATCCATAATCTTTCCATATGTTCCAACTAAACTGTCTGCATAAAATGGTGGATCACCTATTAACATTTCATATAAAAATATACCCACAGCCCACCAATCACATTCTCGACCATACACTCCTTCACCATTTTGAGATTGTAAAACTTCTGGTGATATATAATCAGGAGTGCCTACTGCATTGCTTGCGCGCACTAAGCCATCAGGGCCCATTCGCATACATGTACCAAAATCGGCCAATTTAAGATGACCATATCTATCAATTAACATGTTATCAGGTTTTACATCTCTGTGAACAAAACCCATACCATGTATAACATTTAAAGCCAGAACAATTTCCATTGTGTAAAATTTTGCCCATTTTTCTGGTATATCAAAATTAGACATCAAGCTAACCAGATCACCACCAGGCATATAATCCATCACCATATAGAGATATTTTTGATCTTGAAAAGCAAAATGAAGTTTGAGGATCCATTCAGAGTTTGCATGTGCCATAATGTGTCTCTCTTCCCAAAAAAATGTGGAGTCTGACCTCTTAATCATTTCTACCTTACTTAAAAGTTTCATTGCATATACATGCCGAGTGGACTTTTGTCTGACTAGTTGGACTTCACCAAATGCTCCCCGACCAATGACTTTAATTAAATCAAAATCAGAAGCTTTCATGCGCAGATTCACTATATCTGAAGCAAATTCTAGATCTAAAACAAAAAGAAAAATAAATCTAGTATGTAAAAAAGAAGTTAAATATATTATACTTAATTACTAAAGTTGATGCTATACAACTTATTATTATATTTATTTTACGAAGCTTTGCAAGTAAAGATTACATTCAATTCAATCGAGGTGTTAGAGGGATATAGCAACTGTTTCTCTAAATGTTAATCTCACCTACACATTAGGTATTATGCACTCATGTTATTAATGAGAGTCTGACCACTAACAAATATCAGTAAGTACATCCATAAAATAATGCAAAACTTAAAACCATAGATTGGTAATGGGGAGCAAAATCATCAGTGATAGGGTATTAGTGCAGTACTTATCAATCTACCTGTACAATTAGCCTATTAAAAAAACCAGGCACAGAAGTGGCTGATGTTTTAGGCCAAGAAGGATATAATACTAGGTGACATTGGACAAACAGATTGTTCTAATTCTCTCTGAGCATATTGATTTACTGGTTTAGAGATTTGCAAAATCCATAAGTAATACATATAGGCAAGAGTCTTTGCCCACAAAAAAATTATTGCATCACCAAGCCACTAATAAGATTCAAACAGTAATAAATGCTTTAACTAGACAACTGCTGGCCTTTTATCTGGATGTTATCACATATGTATATATCTAGACGCACCAAAGTCCCTCTCAGGGGTAAGAAGCTGATCAGTTCAAATATAAACAAACTGCTATCTCTGCTCGTACTCTAGTTTATTAAAAGTCAAAAATTCTTTAATAAATATAAGTAGCAGTAGGTATTTATCATTAACTTTATAAGTTTTATCTTATTGATTTTGGAAATTATACTGTAGTTAATATACAACATATGCAACTAACAAAAAATTGCGTAGTAAAATTAATATCGTTATTACTTAAATACTTTATTTATGGAACCTATTTCATTATTTACTACTAGAATGTCACATGAAATGACTTTTGAAATATTACTATAATAACCAGTAACTTCCACATTTCTGCCATATTATAAATATCTAAAACACTAATTGGTATTACTCACTAAACTGTTATAATAATAATGTCCTCCAGGCCGATATATCGGTTACGAGGACCAGTCTCAACGTAGACTAGCCATCTGCGCATGACAGGATCATTGCCAATGAATGTGAGCGCAAACACAGGAGCACTTTAACAGTTCGATGAGACGAAAATTCGAGATCGCCGCAAATAATTAGGCGCAGTACTACTGCTACTAAGAATTTATTGACAGAATTTCAATCAGAATATCCGAGATTCGAAACTAGAATGATCACATGATCATGATCACCACATGATCAGCAGTTGCGCTTACCGCTTACGAGAAAGAAAAAAGAAAGAAAGAAAGAAAGAAAGAAACATTTATTGTCACATTTCACAAACATCATTAGGCACTTACATTTTCACATTTGTAGACACATCAATTAAAAATAGTATAACAAATCTGTTTTCATTCGTTTGAAAACATGCCGACAATCATGGCGAACCCGGCTGTATTAGAATAATATAAAGTTCAAATTAAAATTGCCAGGGACGCGCGGAGCTTTTTCAAAGGCGCGTGTAGGCGTGTCGCAATTTGTTTTACTGCTACACCGTGGTTTTGCGAAATATGCCTTGACGCAATGGATTAAGTATCATGTTTGAGTAAACATGTAAATCGGCTTTTCTTCTGATGTAAATGTTATAAAAGATAAGATACCACAATTATTCCGAAATTCACTGGGGTCAGAGCTCATTAAAAATAGCTAGCGAAATCCTAGGTCCATTGTTTTTTCTGCGTCAACAGGACGTTGGCAAACACTTGCTAAAGTGCAAACTTTAAACTAATTTACAAATACTTGTTGGGAGAGCAGGGTTGCAGCAGTAAAAGCTCGACGTTTTAATATAGGGAAAGTGTATGATGCCTTGTTTACCATATATTCCTATAGGAGCAAAGATGCGGAGTCAAGAAATATGGCAAATTTATTACTGGCAAAAGTTTAAGCAAGAATATAGTTAACAAAGCACTCCAAAAGTCTCCAAAAGACGTCGTATTGTCAGAAGCGGTGAAAATGTTTGATAATGCTAAAATAAGTATAAAATAGCATAAACACTCACGCCTGTCACCCAGAGGGGTAGGCAGAGACCACGGACTTCCATTTGACACGATCCTGACATACCTCTTTCGCCTCCTTTACATCCATAATATATCTACGCATACATGCTCGTCGGTTAAGGGTACTTTTAACGTGGCCCATTTTCAAAATATCGCCAACTTGGTCGATAAACTTTTTTCTAGGGCGTCCCTTCCCGACTCTGCCGTTCACATCTGCCATATAAATTTGTTTTGTCCATCTTTCCTCATTCATTCTTTCTACATGACCAAACCACAGAAGCATTCCTTTCTTAATCCTGGTCACAACATCATCTTGCATACCAAATTTATCTCTTATCATGCAATTTCTCATCCTGTCATACAGATTCAACCCTAGCATACTCCTTAAAGACCGCATTTCTACAGCATTTATTCTACTTTCGTGCTTCTTCTGCCACACCCAGCTTTCACTACCATACATTAAAGTAGGGACTAACACAGCATTATGAATTACCATACGTGCCTTTTTTGATACATACTGGTTCTTCACAATAGAGTGTAGTGCCCCATTCACTCTATTCCCTGCATTTACTCGTCGTTCTATATCCTTATCATATCTACCATCCCTGCTAAATACACATCCCAAATACACAAACTCATCCACTTGCTCAATTAACTCTCCTTCTATTCTTATTTCACATACCGTTTTGCTTTCCTCTCTTTCAAAAACCATCACTTTCGTCTTACTTGCGTTCACTTTCATTCCCCTTTCCTTGCTAAAATAAGTATGTCTAAATTCCATAATACGTCCGCTTTTGTGGAGTTCCTTAACAGCGTGAAAACTGTAGCGGAAAGAAGTCGAGCCAATAGCAGAATTTACCACACCTGCCCGCCCTTGCGCTCGTAGAAGAGTTTTTAAGTATGAGGCGGAGGATGAACAGATAACAGAAACAAAGACACATTTTAAAGTAAATTTTTACTACTAATTATTAGATATGGCAATTACTAAATTCGACGAACGGTTCGCGCTTTTGAATCAAAATAATGTAATTTCTACAAAAAGTAAAACAGTGGAATAATTTAGACTTAAATACAATAAAAGCACATAATTCTAATTTAGAATATAAACTGTGTCATGCTAGCTCTTCAGATGTGGAGAAGTTCAAGCTCTTAGATAAAATCGAATCATTACCAATGTTTGGGAGTTTTGGCAGGAACTTAGCCGTTGACGTATCGTCGCTCCCGTTTTGTCGCTTGAATAATGGTTTGAAGTGGATTTTGATTCGTAAAAGTGATGCTATTTTGTGAATTAAGTGTCCGCGCGTGTGAACTATTAGAGAAAACGACGAAATAAGTGCTTTGATGTCGATATAAACCTCAAGTTATTTTGATCGCTTGGCCGCCTATGAACTTGAGTGGCTGTCGTCATCAACTGCCCGCTAGGTTGAGCTGTCTTCAAAATCTCCCAAGGTCTTCGCAATATGACGCATCATCATATTGTGAAGAAAAAGAATATAAAATGAAGATTCCGAAAGAAATAATAGGCTCAGAAGGGCTAGAACCCAGAGCCGTAAATACAGTTAATAAAAAAAAATCGATGTTTATTGATGATTCCACTACACATTTGGATATTTTAAATTACTTGTTTACTAAATTTCAGTTGTATATTAAATTTCAGTGTTCCTGAATCTGATCATTTTTTAAATTAAAAATAATACAAAACTCTTAGATCAACATTGTTGCAAAGTAGATTGACAAATTTATCGTTAATTAGTATTGAACATGAAATCAAAATTAAATAAATTCTAAAATAAATTGTTAAAGATTTTTTTATGGAATAAGTGACAAATGAGCACACAGTCCACCTGATGGTAAATGGATGCTGTGGACCCATAGACTACATATTAAAATCAAAATGCAATCAAAATACAGATACATTGTCACCCCTGAGGACAGAGATGGAATGCCTCGTTTCCAGTAAAAAGGGTCTCCGATTCTCTACACTCACCACACAAAACACAGCAGCATGAAATAAAAAAATATCTTCATTTCAGGCAACAGAGAACCCATACAAGAATGTTAGTAAAATTGAAGAGAAATATAAATTTTTTTTTATTTTTATTTACAAATTAATTTACGTAAATAATAATATACCATGGCATGTAGATGTATCCAGCGCTCAATAAGCTGCAAGTTCCACCTATCTGCCATTGTGTTGTGAATGCTGTTGAAGCTGCCACGCAAACGCTTCAGTATCGATGCAACACTTTCTAAAAATGGCATGGAAACCAACAGTGTGCATTTCAGAATATATTCCTGACGCGCTACAAAAGCGCCGCAGCCCCATCAGCATCCTAAACCCATTATTGCACTTGACATGCAACACGCTGTACATCCCCTGCGTATAGTTAACTCATAGGTTGCCCGTGTAAAAAGACTGGCAGTAGGCTTTGAAAATAGTAATCTCTACCTGCCTACTGCAACAAGCAAACCTATGGGCCACTATGTTACATCAGATGGACAGCACCATGCATTCCCGCACGAAATCCATATTATCACACAGATCCACAGTGACACAGATACTTAAAATGTGAGACACCCTTTAGAGGTGAGTTGTTGAGTGTGAATGTAGTCGCACTTGGTCAGGATTTGATTCCTGCCTTGAACACTATGAATTCGCTCTTTTTTACATTGTGTCTGAGTCCATGGGACACTGCATATACTTCACATACATTTTATAATTTATGCATGGCACCAATCAAAGGGCTGAGCAGCACCATATTGTCTGTGTAACTTATGTATTTGACACAAACACCGTCAATATGACTATGTTAGTACGCTACTATGCCTACATTTGTTCTGCTGAACTTCTCTATCAGGCCATTAATATACATATTGAGGAGCCTAGGAAAT